GGAATACAATGACGATAGAACAAGAAGTAATAGAACATGCCGGAATAACATCCGTTTAAGAGGCCTACCTTAAACGTTGTTCACTGAACTTCTCCCAGACACGCTTACTACAGTGTTTCAGAGACTCTTGCCTGAAGCATCCACAGCAGATCTTTTAATGGATCATGCTCACCGTGCCCTGTGCCCCCCCCCAGCGCCAACCCCACCACCCACCAAGAGATGTCATAGTGCAAATGCACTTTTTACCAAGACTGCCTGATGCGTGCTGCCAAGGATGCTCCCGTGGAAATAAAACAGGCTAAAATTCAATTGTTCCAGGACCTGGCGATAAATATCCTGCAGAGGCGGAAAGTCTTACGCTTGCTCACACAACACCTCACTCACCACAGGCTCAGATACGCATGGGGGCACGCTTTTGAAGCTCATCGTCCGCAAGGACAACAAGTTCTTCACAATCTCTCAACTGACAGTAGTAGCTGCAATACTAGACAGACTAGGTCTTCCACCAGTGACTCTTCCCTCACAGCAACAACTCTCAAGACCGACACCGCTACAGCCACCGAGACAACCAGGGCCGGACTGGCCTACCGGGATACCGGGAAATTTCCCGGTAGGCCGCCAGCCCTGGGGCCGCTTTGACATGTGGCTGCACTCAGCCACAAGACATAATTTTTTTTTTTTGTATAGGAGTATGCGGCCGCGCGGCGCACCCGCGCCGGCCGCTACTGCTTCCTGTGCGAGCGCACAGGCACTTCCTGGCAGCCGCCGGATGTGAGCGGATAATGACGACATGACGTCATATCCGGCGGCTGCGCGGCGGCGGCACCACCAGCAAGCCTGAATCGCGGCCTCTCTTCCCACCGGCACCATTGAACTGGAACAGTTTTTAAGGTAAGAATAAAGGGGCTTGGGCTAGGGGGACCTATTGTATTGGGGGGCCATTAATGTATTTGGGGCATGGGGGGGGGCAGCAATGTATTTGGGGCATGGGAGGGAGGGGGGGGGCAATGTATTTGGGGTATGGATGAAGAGTAAAAGCAATGTATTTGGGGCATGTGGGAGAGGTAAATGTATTTGGGGGCATGGAGGAGGGAGAGGGGGCAGCAATGTATTTCAGGCATGGGAGGGAGGAGGGAGGGTGGGCAGCAAATGTATTTGGGGCATGAGGGAGGTGGGGGCAGCAATGTATTTAAAGGAGTGGAGGGAGGTGGGGAAGCAAATGTATCAAAGCGTGGAGTGGAGGGAGGGGGGGGCAGCAAATGTATTTGGGGCATGGAGGGAGGGAGGGGGGCAGCAATGTATTTTGGTGAAGCTGGGAGTGGGAGGGGGGGCAGCAATGTATTTAGGGCGAGGGAGTGGGGGGGCAGCAAATGCATTTGGGCGCAGGGAGGGGGCAGCAATGCATTTGGGGCATGGAGGGGGGCAGCAAATGGCCTAGCATGGGATGGGGAGGGGGCGGGCAAACGGCCTGGGGCGAGGGAGGGGGGGCAAAGTTCCATTTAAAGTGAGGAGGGGCAGCAATGTATTTGGGGCATGGGAGGGGGGGCAGCACGTAGCTGAAGCTGAGGGAAGTGCTAACGGTTTGGGCATGGAGTGGGGGCAGTAATGTATTTAGTCAGTAATGTATTTAGGGGAGTAAGCAGTAATGGCTTGGGGAGGGGCCAGTAATGTATTTAGGGCCAGTAATGTATTTAGGGGGGCCAGTAATGTATTAGGGGAGGAGGGGGCAGTAATGAATTAGGGGAGGGGGGTCAGTAATGTAGTGGGGGAGGGGGGTGACAGCAGTAAATTAGGGGGAGGGGGGACAGCAGTGTATTACATAGGGGGAAGGGGAGGCCAGATGTGTATTCGATGGGGGCGGGGGGGCAGAAGTGTATTAGGGTGAGGGGGGGCGGGAAAGATCTGACTTGGGAATTTGAGATGAGGCAATGATTATATTTGTGACATTTATATTTGTGGCCCAATTAATATTTTATATATATAATGTGTGTGTGTGTGTAGAAGGAAATGTAACTAGAGGGAGCTACAGGGGTGAGGGAATTATATTTGTAATGTATTTATTAGGAACTGTGGAGGGAAGGGGGTTGGATGAGAGCATTAAATATTATAGCATTAAATATTATATTTATGGCGTAGGAACTGTATTATATATTTTTGGTTTAGTGCGGCGGTAGATAACCTTCGACACTCCCTTTGTTTTTTACTACATCTCCATTAAGGCTTGCAAAGCATCAAGGGATGTGTAGTCCACAACATCTGGAGTTGCAAAGGATGTCTACCCCTGGTTTAGAGCATAGGTGTATAACCTTTTGGCTTCACCAGGCCAAAATAACCCCTTAAACAAAGCATTTTTCCTGACACTATAGTGTCCTGAGGGTGCCCACACCCTCAGGGTCCCCCTCCCGTGGTGCTGAAGTGGTTAAAATCCCTTCAATTACTTACCTTAATCCAGCGCCAGGCTCCCTCGGCGCTGGTGACCTCTCCTCCCTGTCTGACGTCAGCTCCCCTGTCCGACATCACTGGAGCTGAATGCCCATGGCCGCGCGCGCATTCAAAGTGTCCATAGGAAAGCATTTCTCAATGCTTTCCTATGGATGCTCTGCGCGATGGAGGCGAAATGTGCCTCCAGCGTCGCAAATGCCCCTCTGTCTGTCCGGATGACAGCCACTAGAGGCTGGATTAACCCCTAATGTAAACGTAGCAGTTTCTATGAAACTGCTATGTTTATATGTGAAGGGTTAAAACCTGAGGGACATTGCACCCAGACCACTTCATTGAGCTGAAGTGGTCTGGGTGACTATAGCGTCCCTTTAACGCTGTTACGGTGTTATATGCTGTCCGTATTTTAATGGGCTGTTAAGCTGAATCCTGATGACTCCGCAATACCTGCCTATCCTGCGATCTGCTTCCGAGGGACTGGCTGACTGCCCAGGCAACACCCTTCGGGAAATCAGGCCCACTTTGTAACTTTCCAAAACCCCACAAAGCCTGTACATAAGTTGTGCTTGTGAGACATTGCTGAATACAAATTTGTGTGCTTTATTGCAGTGAAAGCTAACAGTATTATGACATTCACAGTAAAAATGCCATGCAGAAAAAAAAGTGAAAACATTTAATTTCACAACTTTTGTTAGATTTTATTCATATTAAATTGTTTCACTTGATGTGAAATGAAAGCCCTATTTCTACTGAACAAAATGATATTTAATAGGAGTACAGTTAATATGAAAGAGGTAAATTATGGTTGATCAAACTTCTAGCACAAGTTGCTAGTTTTTGTTTTGACTAGAACCTGTACAAATGGTTCAGTCCTTAAGGGGTTTATTTATATATTTCATTTGTTCAGTACAGTGCTTCCCAAACCAGTCATCATGGCCCACCAACAATCCAGGATTAATGTATTTCCCGATCTTATTCCAATGGAGATACTAACAAAACCTGGACTGTTGGTGGGTCTTGAGGACTGGTTTGGGAAATGCTGGTTTAGTAGATAACTCCCTTATTTGTTATCCTTATGTGGGATTGCCATATTTAAGGATGCCAAATAAGGGAGCTATCTGCTAAAGACATACACATGTATATACATAATCAGAGATATACATGAATCACACACACACACACACACACACACACATTTAGTAATTATGAGGGCCGCCCAGCCTCCCTAAGTGAGGGCTAGAGTGTAGCAGCCCGGACGGCAAGTGGGCTGCGTTACAAGCGGCTCAGAGTTGGACACGCCTGGTTTATAGTGATTATGTGAATATGAATATGAAACCACGACACGTGTTAGGGCATTTCCTAAGGAAAGCAGCTTTCCTACTGGGTTTTCAATGACGCTGGATGTTCTCATGAACAGTGTGAGGACGAACTGCGTCATTTAATGTTATTCAGCCACTAGAGGAGGAGAACAGAAACTGCAATAATTAACAATGCAGGGTTAATGGGAAGAAGTGGTCTTGGTGCCTATAGTGTCCCTTTAACTGGACTTTGCCACGGCTGTGGCTGTTAGACTGTTTTGTTTTTTTTATTAACTAAACTTTGCCTTGCATGTGGATTTTAGACTGTGTTTTATTAGCTGGATTTTGACATGCCAGTGGCTGGCAAACTGTTATTAACCTATTAAAAGGGGCACTCTTATCCCAAGAGGTTAAACTGTTCTCAAATGGTTTAACCCATAAGTTGCCTCCAGCTCTGGTCTCTACTCGTCCCCTGGCAGCATCTGCCATCTGAACTTTAAAATTCAGGAATCGCGGAGTGCTGCCGGGGGACGCGCCACTGATTTGGCTGAGAGTGCTCAGCTTTCTGACAGAACTCCGCTCTTCCTGAATCTCAAAATTCTGAAGCTGGATGTTGCTAGGGGAAGAGTTTAGACCAGCGCTGGAAGCAACGTAGAGGTAATCCCCTCCGGGGGCATCCTGATATCCAAACGACTTAATTTGAATGAAGTTGTGTTGGTGCCTGAAGTGTCCCCTTGAAAACATTTTACTTCACACATTTGTAAAGTACTGCATTGTGATTTATTTCTTCTAATTGTTGTACCAGTACCAGTGAGGTGATACAGAAACAACCTGGACTCTGGAATATTGCTGAGGCTGAGATTTTAGACCTGCACAGAAGGCAGAGCACAGGGTGAGACGTCATTCAGAGAAATACAGTGAAAAAAAACGGTTATATGTATTATTTTAAACACGTAGATCGTGTTTGCATAAGTGAAAAAAAGATGTTGAACAACTCGGTGCCAATACCTTATTTGGCCCAATATGATGCATATCATCAACAACTTGAAAATTCTACATTCCAGTTGTACTTGCAATGCAGGGTTTGCATGTATTATTCCAGGGCTTGACAAACTTCTGTAGCCTTGAGGAGCCACACCAAATCAGGAGCAAGAGAAATGGAACTTCCGTAAAGTTTTATAAAATACAATCAAAAAACTTAGGAGCCAGCAGCAGCAATTTTATGAACCATGGCTCCCGAGATTTCTCGAGCCCTATGTTATTCTATTTATCTTTACTTGCAGTGCAGGTTTCACACATATTCTCCTGTTGATCTCTACCTGCCGTTGCAGGCTTGCATGTGTTATTCAGTTGATCTCTACCTGCCGTTGCAGGCTGGCATGTGTTATTCAGTTGATCTCTACCTGCCGTTGCAGGCTTGCTTGTGTTATTCAGTTGATCTCTACCTGCCGTTGCAGGCTTGCTTGTGTTATTCAGTTGATCTCTACCTGCCGTTGCAGGCTTGCTTGTGTTATTCAGTTGATCTCTACCTGCCATTGCATGCTTGCTTGTGTTATTCAGTTGATGTCTACCTGCCGTTGCAGGCTTGCTTGTGTTATTCAGTTGATCTCTACCTGCCATTGCAGGCTTGCTTGTGTTATTCAGTTGATGTCTACCTGCCGTTGCAGGCTTGCATGTGTTCAGTTGATCTATACCTGCGTTGCAGGCTTGCGTGTATTCTTTGCTTGATGTCTGCCATATGGTATTCCGTTGATCTATACCTGAAATGCAGGGTTATGATGTGTATTTTAGTGGATTGGTTGTTCTCTGTACGGTTAATCTATATGCTTTATGCTTTTTACCTTGCATTGCTTACTTTGGATAGTCAAGTATTACTTGGTTGATGTATATAATGCTTTTGTACAGTGGCTTAAAAAGTGCTTGATGTTGAGTTCATAAAACATATACCAGGCTTTAGCACTGGCAAGCTTTTATTTCTGAATATATATCAGAATTTATTATTTGGCTTCACTGGGACATGTTTCAGTCTTTATCATTTTCAAATGACCCAGCGGACAATTTTAATCAATTTGGTTAGAATCACCATTCTAATCCATCCACTCCCATAGTTTGGGATTCTGGATCATTTTGCCCATGGTTCAGATGTAATTAATTTGTGTTTTGAATCAAATATAGCAAATATATCTTCTTTTTTTAGTGATTGCCATGGATAAGAAGGGTGAAAGTAAAAGAAAACAGAAAGGTGGAGCAGAAAAAGAACGTGAAAAAAAAAAAAAAAACTGTTAGAAAAAGATGCACACCAGTATCAAAAAGTCAGTAGCTTGTTTAAGATAGTGGCAACAAAGCATGACTTACCACCCGTATCTCTACATGAAGACATTGGCGCTAGCTGTAGCACAGCAATGCATAGCGCTATGCAAAGCACTGTACAGTTGGATATAGATACCGAAGCAGGTGAAGATATTCACCACAGTATTGGAGTTACTGTTGAGGGAGAAACTGTTGAACATGATTCTTCATTAGCAAAAGAAGATATTCCAGAAGTAGTTGGCCTTAAGGAGGGCATGTCTGACACAGTTGATGATAAAATGTGGTTTATCAAACCAAAATCTGAAAATTTGGATTCTTTCCTATTGTTTCATCCATGTCAACCAGTTATCCTTTCTTTAAATTCAACAAAGTTATATCAGAGGAGGGATGGAAAGAAGCGTCACTGGTTGACTTATTCACATGGACATGGTGCCTTTTTCTGCATGGTGTGTCTAGCTTTCAGCAAAAAGACAGATGACAGTGCTTTTATTGATGGTTGCTTTGATGAAAAGCACATGTACCAGAGAATTGAAGAGCACGAAAGAAGCAACCTCCACAATAATAGCTCTGAATCCCTTTTGATGAGGTCAAAGAATATGGACATATCTAGTCATTTCTTTGAGAAACAAACAGCCAGAAAAGAGGAAGTGAAGAGAAAACGTGCCATTCTAGAGAGGATAATTGAAACCATAAAGCTGATTGGAAAAAGAGGCCTAAGCTATCGGGCAACAGCTGAAGCAGCATATACGTTAGATAATGAAAAGTTGGACCATGGAAACTTCCTAGAGATTTTGCTACTCTTAAGCAAGTTTGATCCCTTGCTGAAAAATCACCTTGATACAGTTATTAAAAAAAGTAAAAAGAAGCATCAAAGTGCAACAAGTAGCAAAGGACGTGGTAGCTTTGTTACATTAATTTCAAAAACTACAGTCAACAATATCATCTGTGTAATTTCAGCACTTTTGAAAAAAGGTATTGCCCAAGAGATCAGAGATGCCGGCATGTTCTCAATACAGCTCGATACAACACAGGATATAAACGTCTCAGACCAGTGTTCAATAATAATTCGGTATGTCACAGATGTGGTCCATGAACGTCTGGTTGCTGTGGTAAATTGCACATCCACGACAGGGAAGGCTTTGTGTGAACTTGTTTGCAATGTATTGGAATCCATGGAAATTGAGGTTACGAACTGTGTTGGGAACTCAACTGATGGAGCTTCGAATATGCAGGGTCAGTACAACGGATTCAGCACATGGCTGAGTAGTAAAGCACCTGGCCAGATTCATGTGTGGTGCTATGCACATGTACTAAATTTGGTGATGATGGATGTCACAAAGATATCTGTTCAGGCAATATTGTTGTTCGGCTTGTTAAACTCCTGTGCTGTATTTATCCGCGAATCCTACCTTCGGATGAATGTATGGCGTGAAAAGTCTCAGGAAGAAAGATTTAGATCTCTTTCTGTGATTGGAGAAACAAGATGGTGGTCTAGAGATGCAGCACTTACAAAGGTGTTTGGTTCGTTTAATGATCCAAGTCAAGCCTTGTATGTAGATTTGATCCAGACCATGGCAGAAATATCACGTTCTGATCATTTTAATGCTGACATCAGATACAAGGCTGGAACTTACTTAGAATCCCTCAAAAAATTCCACACACTTATAATGGCACAGCTGTACTTATTTGTTTTCAAGAATACCACTCCACTATCCTTGTACCTGCAAACACATGGTATGGATGTATTGCAGGCATACCGAATGGTGACAGAAACAGTAAACAACTTGCAAGCACATGATCGTGATTCACAAATGATTATAGATGCTGCAAAGAAGTTTGCAGTCTGGGCAAACAGCAAGTTGGATACAACCAGCTGCAAAGTTTTGCTTGAGGAAGACTTTCCATCACCTCGAAGAATACAACGTAAGAAAAGAATGGCTGGTGAGCTTGCAGTAGATGAACCAATTCTGTTAGCAAGTGACCAGTTCCGGGTGGAGGTGTACAATGTGACCTTGGACAAGATCATTAATAGTCTGCATAGCCGATTTACAACACATGGTCAGTTATTTGCAGATTTGGCATGTTTAGATCCCCAAAATTTTGAAGATATTTTACTAGACCTTCCCAGCAGTGCATTAGAAAGACTGAGTAGCCTTGTTATTAAATTTGACTCCAATGCAACGAAAGAGAAACTGCGAAGTGAGCTACTTGATTTTGCATCAAAGTGGCAAAGATTGAAAATGTCACTTGATGAAGAATATATTGATGTGAACAATGAAGGTCAAGATGAAGACACCATCCATTCTCATCTTATCTCTGAAACTGAGGAACAGCCATACTCCAATGTTGGTGATAAAAGTGGAAAGTGCAAAACTTGTAAGAGCTGTATAGCCTGCTGCTACAATGTATTATTGCGTTACAACTTTTACAGTCTAACGTATAGTTCACTTTTTAATGCATACAAATTGACACTGACACTTTCCTCTTCGCAAGTAGCATGTGAGAGGTTTTCAAAACTTAAATACATCTTGAACAGACTGAGAAATTCCCTCTCTCAAACACATTTGGAGGCCTTTATGCTAATGTCAGTGGAGAAAGAGGCCTTGATTGGACTAAGCAACGAAACCATCATTGATGTTTTGGCTTCAAAAAGCAGCTTGCTACAAGAGATGTTGCTTACATAACTTACAAGCATGTCAGTAAATTACAATGTTGGTCAATATTTATTTTTCTAGATTTTGACTGGATTAGTTTTTTTTTGTTTTTTTTAAGTTCTTTTAAAAGTTGTTACATATTTTATCCAATAAAACTTTAGAAAACAGTTTACACATTGCAACCTCCTAAAGCAGGCGCTGTCCAACATGCACCCTCCCCAGATGTTACTGAACTACAACTCCCATAATTCCCTGGCCATCTGTTTCATTAAAAGAATCATGGTAGTTGTAGTTAGCAACATCTGGGGGAGCACAAGTTAGACAGGCATGTCCTAAAGGGTAATGAGCCCTGTTTTTATCTACTGTTAAACTAATTTACTTGTTTTAAAGCACTTTTTTGAGTAATGTTTGTACATTACATTTTGAAAACTGTTGGTTTGCTTGCCATGGTACTGGTACAATTTTCCTGTTCTAAAATTGGAGTAGAAAGCTAGTCAGCAATATGTTTCAAGGTATTTAAACTTTATTGAATTCTTAAGGTTTTCGCACGTTTATTATAACTGTTAAAATATTTAATTACTGTCTAGTATAACATTTGCACTTTGTGTTACCTCTAAAAGTTTATTTGCATTTACTACTGTTTTGTGTGTTTATGAGTAATTTATATATGTTAAGTTAATACATTTTGGAAACCATTTGTGTTTTCTATACTTTGATGTAAAGCTCTTTGATTATTCTTTATTTGGACAATTTTGATGGGGCAGACACAATTGCATGGGATAATGGTCTACTATGATATTTGGAACAATGGGGGTTCTACATAAAGAGCTATTGTGGGGCAAAGTTCTAAATGTAATCTAATCACCCTAGCAATAAATGGTCTACTCTTGATGATTGCTCCACGTTTACACTTTTCTTACGCTTTATGTATAAGGCCTTGTGTGCTTTTATATCTCTTATCTATAAATAATTCACTCTTCAAATGTGCTTTAAAATGCATGATTTTACCTTTTATGAACAAGAAAATGACGTTGTGCCGGTATAATTACGCAATGCTATGGGGCTGGTATGGAATTTTTTCCAGGGCTGGTTTTCATACCCAGTCCGGCCCTGGAGACAACACATACTCACCTGAGATACAGACACAGCCTTCGACCTCGAGAGACTACCCCAGAACGCAGACCCAGGGATTATCTGTGGCAGAACCACTGCTTTCCCATGGTATTCGAGTGTTTTCCTCATAATTTTATGCATTTTGTGTATTGTGCCCTGTTCCCCGTTCAGGAGTGTTTATACAAAAGAATTTGTCTCATTCGTCTCCCAAACGGGGACCACCTTAATATCCGATTTAGAACGCTAGTTAGAATGTTCACTCCTCTAACATAGTTGCGAAACCGCATGGGAAACAATTAATGAGCACCCCCTGGGTGGCCACCATTTCGTATAGACTAACGCTAGCCCGGGGGAGCGCTCGTGGATTGTTTCCAGACTCGTTCGACTCCCGAACGAGGACCCCCCCAGTGCCCCATTAGAATGCTCACACCAATTAATCAGAACATTTGCACTCGCAACATCTATGTGAAACCACCAGGGAAGTAATTAATGAATGCTCCCCTCGGTGGCCTCCATTTCGTAAAGACGTACTCCAGTCAGGGGGAGCATTCATAACCGAAAGACACTTCCCTTGCTGGGCTTCCACACAGGGACCTTGTGAGAGGAGACAGGTTGATAAAGGTACCGCTGTGAGGGTCCCTGAGATTGGTGTGGACCCTTC